CGCGTTCTCAGTGGAAGAGGTTCTGCACAATTTTGGTGGAGGTTTTTGATTCTGCCAGCGGAGATTCCAGTTTCGACGGAGTTTTCTCATATTCACGGTGGTGATTTTCGGTGCTGCCAACGGAATTTGGAGGAAATCTGTACGGTATTTTCTCGTGTTTTAGGTGGAGGAGCTTCCGCATGATTCCGGTAGAGATTTCCGATGCTGCCAACGGAGGTTCGACGGACTTGTCTCGCATTCTCGGTGGAGCAGGTTTTGCGTGATTTTGATGTTGGCCGGGGACATTCCAGAGGGCGCTTCTGCACGATTTCTTTAGAGAGTTTCTTTGCTGCCGGAGAAGGTTACAGGCAGATTTTCGTGAATTCTTCTTCTTCTTTCCTTTATTCAACGTCGGTCTCTGTTCCGCAATCTAGTGCCAATCACCGGACATCGATTGCCATCCATTGACGGCAATCGAATGTGCAGGAAGGCAGCTTCCGCACCTGCGTAGGATATCGCACCCATTCAACACACATATGGGCCGGGACCAACGGCTTTACTTCCCTTCCGAAGGAAGACGTGACCAGAGATTTTTATGTCTCAGAAAAATCCCATCGACCTCGGCTGGGATTGAACCCAGACCCATCGGGGTGTTAGAAAGCAGTCACGCTTACCACTACACCACCGGCACCGGCTTTCGTGAATTCTCTAATCCGAGTTGTCTTTTCCTGTTGTGTTTGTTTATCTTCACCTCGATGCATTTATGTATGTATAGGTGTCACCGAAAAAGCGCATGCTGCTTTGTTTTGATTTCCACAGCATACTGAATATTTGATGCAAACGATGCAAATTAAATGCGTTTGATTTAAATTAAATGCTTATTCAATGGGCATTCTAAAAGTGAGAAGGCTAGAAGCAACCGGTAGAAACTAACGATTTAAAATTAATTGTATGATTTGAGGAGTAGCTATACTGAAGATCCGAGAGATGTCGCCCCTTCAGTGGTAGGAAAATCATTTTTGCAGTATGGGAATTATCAGAAAATCCCGAGGGGGCGACACATCTAAATCTTAAGTTTAGATGCTCAACAAATCTCACACTAGCGAATCAATCTTAGAAAAATTTTCTTTCATTTGTCGCATCTACTTGCATCGCGCATCATCTTTTTGCAGGAAATCTTCAGAATCGTCGTCAATCTTCTTTCTATCTACCCAGCGTGCGCGCAGCTAGCCACATCAAAACACAATCTTTTCTGTATCGCAGATAGAGTCGTCCCCCTCGGAAAATCCACGATTTGTGACTAAACATGCTTTCACAGAAGGAAACAAATAAATGAGTGTTTACCTTATCACCATAGTAATGTACTCGTGCAATTTTTGTGCATCTAAAACTGCCCATAAAGACGATAATGAATAAAAACTGAAAATTTTCATGTATTTCCATTTGCAAATGGTTTCCTACCATTCCCATACATTCGAAAGTGACTGGCCCTCTGGATGTGGATGGTGTCAAAAACAACAAAACATGATTAATTGACTCACTACTTGACTAGCCTATTGGTCCCAAGCAAATCGATTAACGTACCCCATTCTAGTCGAAATTCTAGTACTACACTATGTTGATTCACTATGAAATTTTGGCAGATAAAAGGAGGGATTCATGGATTTTCCTATGTTTCGAGGGGTGCATCGATTAGCTTGGGACCGAAGAGAGTACCAGAGCTGAGCCAAAAAGTTGAGCACGTTTCTTCGGAACCTTCTGGTCTTAGAGTTACCTCTATGCTAGAAGTGAGACTCCCCTAGAAGCTACATTAATTTTTCACTTCAGACGTCTATCTCTTCTGCTCTAATTGAAACATTAAATAATTACGATGTCACACCTGTAACCAATCATGTGTATAAACCAAATAATGTAAAATAAATCAATTCATTATGACTTCAAATTTCAACTTGAACTCTGCTGCTCCTAACCAGACCGGGTACCACCGTAATCTTGTTGGGACACCAACATGAGCAATAAAGAAATCCCTGAATGTTTAAGGACAAAACAAGAATTTGGAATGGTAATGGTTCTTAACAATCCATTATTCGTAAGGTTCACTTCCAAAAAACCTCGCAAAAAACCATAATACATAAGGTTAAAACTTTATCACACAAACGTTCATGTAAAGTTCCATAACCATTTCAGCATTTCAGTTAAAGTTTAGCAGGGATTATAAACAATGTTTAACCCAAGGGATTAGAATTTTGTCAGCATATTGTGCCGAAATTAGATCCGGCACAGCTTGGGTACATCCGTAGGCATTGGATTGTTGTAAATAAAATGAGAGCACACAAATGCTGGACAACTGTCATTGAAGTTGTTCACAACATTGCGTGCTGTTTGACTGACTGAGGAACTCAGACCAGCTGTTCATTTATAAATCTAATTATCAAATGTTGGTTCTAGAGTGGGCTCAAGAGAAAGAGGCAGTTAATTAAACCCCATTAATACCCTTAATTCAAATAATGCTGCAATTCATATAACAAAAACTACAGAAGTCTTCAACAATGTTCCCCAACGGTTCCAACTCTTTCCGGTTGCTATTAGACCGTTGTTTTTCACATCAAGAAAGGCTATGTTTTTGGTCTGCCTTTGAGGGCATTATAAAACCCTAAAACACAGGACTTTTATTATACTATGAACTCAAAACACCGAAATTTTGCATACCCGCCACTTCCCGCGTCATCTTCAATCCGGTTTATCCTTGCGATTTCAAATGCGGCATACTGACAAAAAATATGACCCAAACGGAGTGACTTACCCCTTTGTTTAACCATTTTTGGTAAGGTCAAGTAATGGTTCGCATTTATGCGGATTTGGACCTCTTAGAACTCAAAAATGGTCCCATCAATCGAATGCGTCTGTATAACATAAATTGCGAAGAAATTAACATCACTATGTCCAAAAACCCAATAAAAACTCGACTAAGAGGAAATAGAAATAATACAAAGTATGTAAGTAAAACATTGTAAATATTGTATGTAGTCTACTTTGCTTGACGAAGTAAATAAATAAGTAAATAATGAAAATTACTGATATGGAACATCATTTGGTCGGGAAAATTCGATTTTTTCTGCTGTTATGATCCCCTCACTAATAAAAAATACTATACCCGAACGACAACCCAAATTATAGAACTATACCACAAATTGTTCGGATGATACCCAAAACCCGTCGTTAACCAAAATAACCATACCAATTTTATTAGGGTCCGGTTTCACTGTAAATTTTGCAAATATGTTTTTGTATTGTTGTGAACCATGAATTACGTAAGATTTTTGATGTAATGGACAATGTATGACTGAACGGGTACAGACGGACGTTATATATACCGATCTATGCGCGGCATTCGATAAGTTGAATCATGACATTGCGATTGCTAAACTTGACAGGCTTGGGGTGAGCGGAAATCTTTTGAGTTGGTTCCGTTCGTATCTTACTGGTCGCCAACTTATGGTTGCTATAGGAGATTGCAAATCAGCTAGCTTCTTTGCCACATCAGGTATACCGCAGGGAAGCCATCTGGGACCGTTGATTTTTCTACTCTACTTCAACGACGTGAACCTGGTTATCGAAGGACCTCGATTAGCATATGCAGACGACCTCAAAATATTTTTACGAATTTGCTCGATCGCTGACTGCCACAATCTTCAACATCAGCTTAATGTCTTTGCCAGTTGGTGTACTTTAAATCGAATGGTAGTGAACCCAGCAAAGTGCTCTGCCATAACGTTCTCACGAAAAAAGCAACCGATTGTATTCAGCTATGACCTGCTTGGAACGACACTCGAACGCGTGAATCAGGTGAAAGACCTGGGTGTGGTGTTGGATTCACAGCTAACATTCAGGTAACACATTTCTTATGTCATCAATAAGTCGTCTAGGACTTTAGGATTCATCTTCAGGATAGCTAAGAATTTCACCGATGTCTACTGCTTAAAATCTCTTTACTGCTCCCTCGTACGATCGACGCTTGAGTATTGTTCTGCGGTTTGGAATCCGAATTACAACAATGGTGCCGAGAGAATCGAATCTGTTCAACGTCGCTTTCTTCGTTTTGCGCTTCGTAGACTGCCCTGGAGAGATCCGCTTCGGCTGCCCAGCTACGAGAGTCGCTGCCAACTGATAAACCTTGAACCTCTCCGGATTAGAAGGGACACCAACAGAGCTTTGATTATCGCCGACACTCTACAGGGACGAATAGATTGTGAGGCTATCCTAAGGCAAATTGACCTAAACGTGCAACCCCGACCACTCCGTAACAACCTCATGCTGAGACTGCCACTGCGTCGCACGAACTACGGGGCATATGGTGCGATTTGTGGACTACAGCGTGTGTTCAATAGAGTCGCATCTGTATTCGACTTTCACCTCACACGTGATGCGCTTCGTCGGAGATTCTCATCTGTTTTCGCCGGCCGCAGTGACTGACAGAGAAAATTAGTGTATTTCCATTTATGTTTTTTTTACATTCTGACCATGTTGCTTTGTTTTTCTTTCTGTGATTATTTGACATGTAATTTTACTATTATTATTTTTATGATTAGTATTTTTAACATCATTTGGGCTACAGCCAGCCTGTTGATGTATGGCAACAATAAACAATAAAAATGTCCAATGTTTTTTTCAGTATATAACATGGATACAGCAACAGTAACATTAATTGTACTTTTATTTGATATTTTTTATCTTTCGTCGAGTGTTATCGTTCGTCCGACTGATATGAATTACAACAAGCGCACCAAACTCCCCTACAGATTTTATGCTTGTAAACATGTAGCATAAAAAATGCAGTCTACACACCGTAAACAAACTAACCTGCCCATACGGCCCATACCAACACACTGAGGTGGTGGTTGAGTGTGTGCGGAGAAGCTTTCGTTCCTGCAGCTATGTATTCCGCCATTTTGTCTTTTCTTCGGCTGGCGATATTCATCGTAGTTTTTTACCGCGGACGCTCTGGTCGACTATGTCATTCTGACAGTTCGTGTTGCATTGTGTGGAAGGCTTTTTGTTATTTCTCCGCTTAGTTCGTCACATTTTTGACAGCTCTCTGGTTTTTAGCAGCAAAAGTGGAAATTTTCAAAGCAGTTTAATTCGGATAAAAGCTGGTGCAATTTGTGTGAACTTCAACTTTAAAGTGCAACGAGTGTAGTTGGAAGAAGGGTTTGATATTTTTAGGGTCAATTCGGCCGGAAATCTGCCCATTGAATGTGTTGAAAAAATGCTGTAAAAACTGGACTCGGAAGGGGTCGTTTTAGTTTCAAGGTGGCGTTTGGAAGTGGGGACGAGTTTGTGTGAAGGAAAAACTCAGCAAGCCTCGCTCGAATTTAGAGCTGTTGCTAGAAGCTCTGGCGAACACCATTTTCGTTTGCCCGTAAAGAAGAGACGTTACTTTGTGTGCTCCGGTTCAATCCGGGAAGCAATTTCTCGTTAGCGTAGTTCCACAAAAGCCGTCAAAATTGAGGAAATAGAGGAAATCGTGGAGACCGAGGAGGTCATCCTCTCTCCCGATGAAATGCAGCATGAAGAATATGAAATCACCTCGGTTCCGATCGAAACTACTGTGTCAAACGTCAAGCGGACCGATATTCGGGACCTGACTCGGGAGGCTCACTATCAGACCAAATTGCTGCAGCAGGAAAATGAAGGTAGGAGACTAATTCAACCGTCTTGATGCTTGTACTGTCGCTCCGTTCGTAAACAAGAATCTATCAAAATCTATTGCATAATTTGTCAGATATTTCATGTTTCATTCCGACTTTTTCGGTGTCGCTTCTGCCGTCCGTCAAATGTCAATTTGTCAATGTCGTGTTAATATTAATAATGCCTGAAATTCATATATCCTTGTTAATGGGAAACTCAAATAAAATAACGACTAATTCTTAAAACCTCCTGGTACTAAATTTGTACTTTGGCAAAACGCAGCAATTGTACGAAAAATATTTCAATTTTCAAGCTTTGTTGCGAACAAAATTTCATTGCTAGCTGACTTTTTCAGATGACATTTCAATATCCAATATGGCGACGTAGCAGATATTGCATTATTTTGGGTGGGCATTTTTCAGATAGTGAATTAAAGTGCTCATTAAAATTGTAAAATTTCATCTGAATTACCTCCGGTGTGGTTTGTGGAAATTGTAAAAGTAATGTTAGTGTTTAATTATGGAAGCATCTTTCATTTGATTTGGAATTTTGAAATTTTGTGACGGATTCGAATTTTTTCCGACCGAAAGCAAGCTGTCATTCAGTGTGCGTTAGTTTTGGTGAACTTTCTTGAACGCGCACACACACAAACGGGTTGGTGTTTGATGCAGGGTTGCCAGAATTGCGTCACTTTTATTCAAAAATTCTAACTTAGCATTATTGAAAAAAAAAACTTTTTTTTTTTCAATTCATATATTTGAATGGCTCAATGGTGTTAGCATTACGGAGCTGATAATTTATTGGTTGTAGATTTATAAAAATATCTAAATACTACGTCTAGTAGGGATGAATGCAATAAATAATAAAATTTGAATGGTTATTTTGCTTTACGACGTGTTCATGGTATCATCCAAACCATATGTGGTTATCGTTTAGGTTATCGTTCAGGTATGATATTTTTTTATTAGGGTTGCGGTTTATTCGAGGTTAAAAATGGCGAGCTAAACTAATTTTTGTTAAGCACTGGCGAAGTGGGTTTTTAAATCAAAATTGGTTTGTTTACGCAAATTCGAGTTCAGTAAGTTTTGCGAGGGATGTGGGGGTGACACATGGGTCCAAAGTGATCCGAAAAAATAAGCAGATAACAATGTTGGTTTTATCACACTGTTTTAGGCCATGATTTAGACTTGGTATTTAATACTTCGATAAAACTTATGTTTCCAATTAATTTAAATTCCTTAGGCCGTTCGCAATGCTGAGTTTCAAAATTGTTTTAAACGACTTGACAATTCTATAATTTGAAACTGTCAAAAATAAAACTGCAACACGATCAGCGCAACGCACAGTTCTAAAAGATGTTTGTAATCACCAAGTTCCATAAAATTTACTGTTCTCTATGAAGTTCATAGAGTTTTTTTGTGAAGCTCTTCGAAACATCTTTAAATACATACAGAAATTTGAAACAGAGTTCCATTCGTGTTTCAAACTCGCTCAGAAATAAAACAGAATAGTCGAGCAGTTGCAAATCTGGTGCAAAATAGTGCTCGAATAATGAAACTGCAACTCAGCATTGCGAGAGGTGCGTTTCTGTTCTAGTTTCAAATTGAAACAGTCCTTATAAAATACAACAGCATTGCGAACGGCCTTACCCTGTACAGAATAAATTTTTAGACTTTCTTTTGGTGTCATTGGAAGACACGTCTCGCGTCACTTTTCAAATCAACCAATGTAACATATCCACCATTTTGAGAAAATCGATGTTGAAGTTCGATAAATTATTATTTTAACTGATTAGAAACTAAATGTATTGCTATACTATTTTTAATGTAGGCAGTGAATAATACGTTGAATTTCATACTACAATTTAGAAAAAAAAACCACATAGGACGTTTTGACTAGTCAAGCTGTACATCGGACATGTTACATTGGACGATTTTTCTCAATGACATAATCAATGAGTGTTACATTGGACGTTTTGTTCTAGATTCAAAATCATCCCTCCCATGATACTAGCACAGACAAACAGACATAACACATTGAATATTTCTCACTGTAAAATATCGTCGCTAAAACATTACCGCCATCTGTTGAGTACAGTGTGATGGGTAGTACGCTGAACAGATGGTGGTAGCCCTAATAAAAATTGTATGGTTAATTTGCTTAACGACGTGTTCTGGGTATCATCCAAACCATTTGTGGAATAGTTCAATGATTTGGGCTATCGTTCGATAATGGTTATTTTTTATTAGGGAGCGTATAAACGTCAAACGCAAGGGAATTGACTATGCGCGTCACAAGTGGCGATACTACCAACTACGATACTATTAATTTGACTGTTAAATGCTTGTTAGATAAACAACTTGCCACGGTTATGTTTGTTTGTTTGTGATACTAGATGCCCTTTCACAGATTTCAGAGTAGAGTAGAATACGTTGTTTTTCCTTTTAATTCTACTATTTTATCACTTTCACTATTTACTTTCATTATCACTTTAAACTATAACATTAAAGTAATAGTAAAAATGAAAGTCAGTGAGATCGGAATCCATACTTACTTAAAAGTCATGCGTTCAAATCTAACCGGGATAAGTCACGAATGATCCAAGAGTGTTAAAATGACTATAATAAAAAAAAGATCTGTACTCCAGGCATTTTGGAAAACCTAATAAACCAAACCAATGATATTTTGGGGCTTCACGAAGGTTTACCCTGCACAATAGGTGGATAGATGACGATACTGTTCGACTCATGCAATTGCTGTCAATTTACACATTGTTGCAAAACGGTCAACTCTGCCATGATGGCCTCGACTTGACCTTATTATTATTATTATTCAGTGTTTTTTTTTTAATAAATGTTCCATTTTTGAGTCCTTTTTATGATGATGCTGGTCCTATCTCTTACCCCTACTTTTGTTTGCTGGACGATTTATCTTTAAGATAATTAAGGAAAACATCTGTTTGATATTTTTCCTTGTATTTCGAAAATATTAGATAACAAAAGTTTGATGAAGAGAATAATAAATAAATAAGAACTTCATGTCAGGCATAACATTTGATAACGGCACAAAAGCATTTGTAAACAAACTTTCTAAGGCCCTTTACACGCGAACCAAAGTACGCCCACGCAAACCTACGACATCATCGGATGGGGGCAAATATCACCTTTTCGAAAGTGGTATTGGTTTGCGTGGGTGTTCTTTGGTTCGCGTGTAAAGGGCCTTAGAAAGTTTGTTTACAAATGCTTTTGTGCCATTATCAAATGTTATGCCTGATGTGATCGAAGACCACATGACCATGCCAATTAACCAGAAGCACTTCAAAGTAAGGAAAGGACTAGAAAAAAAGCATAAAAATCTCGAATGTATATGATTGATCGCGAATATCTTGCGATTGGAACATTTAATTCCTCCAATCAATTTTCGCTTTTTTATGATCTATTGAATACACCAAAAAATCTGTGCGTTTTTGCGCCAAAATGCGTAATTTTGTCATTAGAAAACGAGGCGTTTCCGTGACGGGAAAAGTGGTTTCCCTAACACAATCGCCGAATATCAATACCGAGCACGTAATCCTACGTCAAATCTTCGGTCGTGTCTTGGATACAACCTATCACTTTTTTGCTACAAAGGAGTCTAAGACGTATTGTAGAGCAATTCTGCTGAAAAGATATATGATTATCTATATATTTGAACGCCTTTCTTGTTAAGACAGGGGTTGTGTTTGGGTTAGGTTTTTTTTTTAATATCCGGGAAAAACCGGGCATTAAATAATTTGAATTGGACACTTTGTTATCTTGATGACATTTTTCTTGTTGATAATCCGCATATACAATAACCAAAAGAAGCGCCTAATCACCAATTTGGGATATTAGTGTATGGTACCCGTCTATTAGGGAATTTTTATAACAATTGTAACCTTTTATAATTCTGCAGTCTGAACAAGGCATTACACCGGTGGAAACTAACAATTTAAAATTGGCTCACTACTTGACTAGCCTATTGGTCCCAAGCAAATCGATTAATGTATCCCATTCCAGTCGAAATTCTAGTAAAACACCATGTTTGTTTTGATTCGCTATGAGAGTTTGACAGATAAAATGAGGGGTTCGTGGATTTTCCTATGTTTCGAGGGGTGCATCGATTAGCTTGGGACCGAAGAGAGTACCAGAGCTGAGCCAAAAAGTTGAGCACGTTTCTTCGGGACCTTCTGGTCTTAGAGTTACCTCTATGGCATTACCCTAATAAAAAACTACCGTACCCGAACGATAACTCAAATGATCGAACTATTCCACAAATGGTTTGGATGATAGTCTGAACACGTCGTTAGGCAAAAAAAAACATACCAGGGTAGTTGTATGCACAATATTTTTTTTTTTTTAATCTATTTGTAATACAGAAGCAGGCAACACTGTAGTTGTTTTGCTTTACTCACAGTAAAAGCTGATTTTGACTTTTCTTTTGCATTCATATGTGTTTTGCCGAGGCAGTCTTTTGAATGTGTAGGTTTGACGAAGAACCTGGTTGGCTTTGCTAGTTTTCGTGATGTTTTTCTCCGTATTTCCTTTTGGTTGACGTTCCAAATTCATGTTTATTTACGAACAAAGCGAAGCTATTTACCCGAGCGGCTTTCATCCGTCGTTCTGTGCTGTCAAACTTCGGCTTCCTTTTGTCCGTCCCCGTTCGGGTGGGAGAGCTTTTTTATGCTCTTGCATTGAATTTGACAGTCACTCGAAGAGGGAAAGCTGTGTTCATCTAAAAATGTTTCGATGCTTGGTTGTGTTGTTGCTTCAGCAGTGAGTTGTCAAACAGTGACAACAACAGTGGGTTGTTGAGTTTGTTTTGTGACCAAAATTTACGATTTGCAAAATGATTTATGCCATGGTTTTATTTTTCGAATTTTTCAGCTCAAGAGCTCAACTTCCAGCCGGCATCGAGTGCCGAGGACACGGAGGGCTCCGATCAAGAGCATACCATGGGGGAGCACAACTTCAGTACCGAGCATGATGATGGAGACCATATGGACATGGAGGGTATTAGTCCAAACAATCAGTCAGCGATTCGTAAGCGTCGCGGAAATCTTCCGAAGCATTCTGTGAAGATCTTGAAACGCTGGCTCTACGAGCATCGGTACAACGCTTATCCAAGTGATGCAGAAAAGGTTACCCTCTCGCAGGAAGCCAACTTGACGGTTCTACAGGTAATGGGTCTATTGAGTCTCTAACAAGAAAACATAGTCATAAGCGATCGTTTCTACGTGCAGGTTTGTAACTGGTTCATCAATGCACGGCGTCGAATTCTTCCGGAAATGATTAGGCGAGAAGGCCATGACCCGTTGCACTACACCATTTCGCGACGAGGCAAGAAGCTGAACAATCAACTGGCCAGTATGCAAGGCCCGAATCCAATAACTATGAGCCCCGCGTCAGAGGTGATTGTTGGTGCCACTGAGGAGATTATCGAAGAGGAGGAAGTCATCGAAGAAGGAGTACCCAATATCATTACTTCCAGCATTGGTCAACAGTACGTTCAGACACCGTCTGGCCTGGTTAAGGTTGAGGAGGATATCGACTTTGAGGATCACATTATCTATCGGTGAGCATGGTTCAGTAAATTTAATTTACTTTAACAGAAAACCCCCAACCCAAAATTTACATTAACCCTCTTGAATTCTTGAAGCTATTCCTATAATATCCATTCCTACCGTACCCAAATACCCGTTTTCGACTATGTTCCCAAGAAAAGAAAATATCAAAGGCGCAAGAAATATCAAGCAAATCTCAAACGTCTGAAGAAGCTGCGCAGGTTATAAGCAATCTTTCATCTCCTTTCAATCATTTAAAATAGCGCTAGAATAAGTATTTTGATAAATGTTTTTATCTATTTCATGCAGATCGGACGAAAGCAATATTGAATATGAGTATCCCGAAGAAGAAGAAGAGCTACAAACCGAACAAACCGAATGGGATGGTATAATTCGATATGCCAACGACAAAGATGACGAGATTCCCGAAGAGTACGTTTCCAACAGCGTGGATGGAGAGTGAACCACCTGCAATTTACAATATATTTTTTTCTTTTGTATTAATCCAGAATCACAGAAGAAGAAGTAATCGCGTCGGATAGTCCCGAGTACTTTGCTGCAACGCAAGCCAATATCACCCATCTGCCACAATTGCCACAAGCGTTGAACGCCAATACATCCGGTATGTAGAACTTAGGTGACGCCAAATCGGTTGTATTCTTGACATACTTTTTCTGTGCTTTATTTTTTGTGTGTGACAACATCAGTGCGGGCAACCATAACCAAGGCAACGCATGTCGTTACCAATCCAGGTACTAATCAGAAGCCTTTCATATTCTGCTCGCTCTGTTTCTTTGATTTTGCTTTTATTGTCTCTGCCAATCGCAAAACCGTGTTAACTTATCCAACGTTATAATTTTCTTTCAGCAGTTCCCGTTGGATTATCCCGGGTACATGTGGTATCCTCCTCGGCAACCACCGTCAACGCGAGCAGTCCAATTGTGGCGACCGTTAAATCGACGGGGGGTGCTACCATCGTAACGACACCGCTGGTCACTAGTAAAACGACGACGGTGAAAAAACTAATCACTACCCCAGTGGTGGAAACGAACGCCAAAACGATAGCTCCAATAACGACGACGACAACAGGAACCGCAGTGCTGACGACGGTCAACTCGAACATCAACAATAATAATAATAATAACAGTAGCAGCAATAACAACACCACACAAGCCAACTCCCAGCACACGACGACTGCCGTCAAAGTAAAAGGTGAGTGTCTAGCTCAAATCTTTCAAATCACAGCTTCAACCGATTTATGTACCGTGTGTATAATGCAGATGTATGAAAATCATTCTGATTATCATCCTCCCTGTCCTCATTTTTGCAGGTGTCATCCGCGACGACAAGGATCAGTTCAAATGTCTCTATCTTTTGGTGGAAACAGCCGTGGCCGTCCGCCAGCGAGAAAAAGAACAGGACGACGTGCACGTTCTCGGTAATTAAGAATGACGCAAAAACCTACAAGGAACCCATCTTGTCCCCCTTTCCTCCTTCTCGTCTTCGTCATTCTTCGTACATTTCATCCAAGGTCGAGAAAAAGCATCTGACGGTCCATCCCCCATCATCCCCAGTAGAGTATCATCGTATAAGCAGATTTGTTATTTTTTCTATAAAAAAAAACATAGAAAAGCGAAACCCTGAAAATGAGAATTTTACTATAACTTTATAAGGACAAATTTAAGCTAGGTGATAATATGAGGTAAATCTACGTACGCCGAGGAGAATACAAACCCCCCCCCCCTCCCTCCCCTCCCACACACAAACACACAATTCAGCAAACAAGAAACACACAAAACAACCTGTATATACATGAACTATATACACTTACTCCTAATCATAGGGCATACAGAATAATGCAGAAAGGATCATTATTACGACGGATCGGAAGGAACTACTATTAAAAAATAACTATTACTACTAGTTAATAAGACATCGTAGAGAAAAACACACAGAGAGAAAGAGAGCGAACGCGTAATTTCATCTGTCCGTTACACGACAACACACTTTTTTTTAAAGCCAACCACTTTCCAGTCTTACAACACCGTATTATTTTAGTCAGCTCAGAAACATTTCCGTTATCCTGTTTTTTTAATAATTTGCAATGCAGATTCGAGAAACCGAAGAACAAAGTGATTTGACGTAGCGCGGTCCTTCGATTAAGTTTCAAAATGGCTAGAGACCTCAGATGGAAGAAGATTTGCCAATAAAGAAGCTTTTAAACGAAGAAAACTGCTGCAGCAGCAAAAGTCGAAGCGTTCCAATCTCTGTGCTATGGTTTATCTTTCGGAAGCAGCCACGAGTGGGTGAGTGCAGGAAGTTGACTGTCCTGGATCTCTTCCGCTGCTAGCCGCCTGTGTTAGTGTTTTATAGAACGACGATAATTATTAACCCGTGGACCTGGGAATTTGTTTCTTGCTTACATTATATTCATAGCGCGTGTAGTCATTACTGTGTCAGGTTTAGTTTTTTTTTTGTTTAGTTGTTGAACAATTAATGAAAAATATTCGATTTTTTGTTTTCTTCCTTCTGCAATATAGCAACATATACACAGATCACACATTTACGCAGTGAGCTAGATCCATTTCAGTCATTTATCGAGAAGTTAGTAAGTGTATCCTATTTGAATCGAGTCACGTGTCTACAATACAATGTGGTCCTTTATATAGTTTCCCCTGTGCGGTTTATTTTCCTCTGGTTGAAATTGGCACGATTTGCCCCTGTGTCTGATTTTATTTACTTATTTATCGATTTATGTTCAGTCAAAAAAAGAAAGAAAGAATAGAAAGCAGTGAATTTCGGTACAGTTAGAGAAAAATGATGAAACTCTCATAAATAAGTACATTTTATAAATAAATGTAAAAAAACTATTCTATAGAAATAATCAAAAAATTTAAATAAAAACCCTCACGAAAAATTTAAATACGACGCTACTTTAACTTATTTCCTAACTATCACTCTCATTTTGGGTCTATTGTTTTATTATTTATTCTCTTCCTCGAACTTTTGATGTCTAATTTAAGACTGATGGGAAAAAGCATATTTTGCAAATAGGACACGAAACCTAAAAGGCCGGTTTTAGCCGTATAACTAAGAAAGCGACCTACTCAGAGAAGCAATATTTTGAAGTTAAATGTAAGCTGCTGAATTGAGGGATTACGAATTGTAATTCTGTATTTTTGCTCAATAGATTCTTCAAACTATTTTTTTTTTATTACAGGAGAACAGAACTTTCACCGGTGGGTAGATTACTCATGGTCATGGTTGATATTTTTTCCTCAAGCTCCGGATTTTGCTGTTTATAGTACGTTCAGACTACAGAGTTATAACATGTTATAGCGCTATCTTAACGGTGGTTTCTGTGTTGCAATTATTTGACAACCGTTATAACATGTTATAACTCTCCAGTCTGGACAGCGTTATTACGTAGCTTTCATCATTATGCAGACTGTTTGTTTTTATTTTATTTCAGTCAAACCATGCAGGAGGAAATGTGGATTAACAAAAAAAAAAACAGCATTTGAAACACATCCGAGCATTTATTTCAAGTCAATTTATTTTTTGTATAATTTAATGAGACGATCAGCCTCACGGTTCCCACTTCCGATAGCTCCATGAACGGTGCCATACTGCTTCTGGTTTGTGGCTTCACCAGCAAATAATAGTACCGGAATTCCCAAACAGTCTGTAAGCGGAACGGCCAAATCATCTGAGGATGTGTTCAATTGATCCGTAGCCAGAGAGTGGCTTGAATACGATCCTCGGAAGTTACGATCCGTCGACCACTTTGATCTATTTAAGCGTAAGTAAATTTAGAATAACATATTGAGCAGCTAAGTATGACTTACCGAACGATCTTAACAGGTTCCTCTATGTGCTCATTTTTGAAGAATTTTTTCAACAAAAACATCATGCCCTCTATCACCTCTCGATCACTCAGCAGTTCAGTTTGACGACCTTCCTTGCCAATCATCCACGCGGCCAACAAATTAGGCTGACGATCAATTTTAAAGAACGCCGAAGCACCTTCAGTCCACGCATAGTTTGAAACTTGTATATTTTCCAACTCTTCCGCATCCCACAGGAGCCCAAAAGTATTGCCCTTGTCGGTCCAAAAAGGCTTCTCAAATTCCATTATAATTTTGTTGACAGTTCCCAAATGGATTCCTCTGATAGCGTTTTGTTTGATCATAGGAAGTTCCGGGTTGAATAGCGTAGTGAAGTTTTCCTTCAAAACTCCTACCGAGGTGGTTATAATGACGTGGTTTGCGTCATAGCTCGATCCGTCGGTGCAACGAACAGTGACTGGAGAGTCGGGAACCTTGGCCCAATTGATATTCGATACGGTTTTGTTGAACAGGGTTTTATCTTCGATCGGGATGGGCTCGCTCGATTGGGCAGGGTGCTTTTTCTGAAATCAAGTAATCCTAATATTTAGGGGAGATGCATATATTACGTCACGCTCTAAGGGTTGTAGGATTTTGTGGCAAGCAAAGCATTAGGTATAGGAATAACGTGACAAAAAGGGGGAGGGGGTGAATTTGTCTAAATTGAGGACCCCTCTCCACCACTGGGGATACCCCTCACCCCCCCTCTCCAACGGGGGAGTTTGGAAAAGAGAGATGATCAAACCGATCATCGATGATAAACAAAGAAAGAATGGTTTTGCAGCTAATAAGAGCGTACTAATTACAGTATCCCCCCGATAATCTGACAAATTTGTGGTCGGATTAGCAGGGTTGATCCGATAATCCGAGTGTCAAATCCATCAAATCAATATTGTAAAAAAAAGGCCCAATCGAGACCGTGGTGTTGGATTATCGACTCATCGGATTAACGAGAGCCGGATTGGGGAGATACTGTAAATGCAGCTAGTACTGCAAAATGTATCATTTGAGGTACTAGCTTAAAATAGTACAACCAACCGGTGGAAACTAACGATTTAAAATTGGCTCACTACTTGCATAGCCTATTGGTCCCAAGCAAATCGATTAACGTACCCCATTCTAGGATAAATTCTAGTACTACACTATAATGAGAGAGAGAAGGATTAGTATTTTTCATTTAATTCCACTACTTTATTTGCTTATCCTTGCCAGATACGCGTATTTCGTCTACAATGTGCAGACTTCTTCAGTCCCCCCTATTCTGCGAGTCACGTGACTCTCTCTCACCGGTGAGGTGACAATAGTCACCTCGTGTGAGGTGACTCTCCATTTGATTTGCACGGAGAGTCACCTCACACGAGGTGACAATTGTCACCTCACCGGTGACAGAGAGTCACGTGACTCGCAGAATAAGGGGGAGTGTCTTGTACTAATACTCGACTACTACACTATGTTTGTTTTGATCCGCTATGTAAGTTTGACAGATAAAATGAGGGGTTCGTGGATTTCGATATGTTTCGAAGGGTGCATTGATTAGCTTGGGACCGAAGATAGTACTAGAGCTGAGCCAAAAAATTGAGCACGTTCTTTTCTTAGAGTAACCTCTATGGGGCTGTCCATAAAATACGTTGATAGTTTAGGGGGGGGGGGGGGTTGACAATTATCCACGGGCTATACAAATTTTAAAAATTTTGTATGGACAATTGTCTACGCAGGGGGAGGGGGGGGGGGCAAGAATCCCAAAAAAGCTGTCTACGTAGTTTATGAACAGGCCCTATGGTACATCGGTGTACTTTGTACATCTGACGAAGGCCTTAAATGCATTTAAGCTAAATATGTAATATATTATTAAATTTTACTAATTTTCAATTTCAGTGTTTCAAACCGTTTACTTTACTTACCCCGTAAGAGAAACACTGGAGAGTCAACATTTTTTATTGGTACACAAAAACATAAATCTGAAGACTGATTATATTCGTGAGCAAAATATAATCGAGGAAACCAAAGTATTTTATTGTAATATTATTATAGAAGAATGTGAACCTCTATCAATTTAAATTCGTTTGGATTTATTGATCTTCGCCACGTAAATCATAACCCAAGTAAAAATTCTATCTTTTCTTGTCTGTTGTTTGACGTCCACGCATGGCGAAACAAAAAGTTGGTTTCCCATAGAAAAAAAAACCGTTGCAGCGCTGAAGGACAATCATTTTGTTTATGTTGTGTGGTGACATCTACTATTTATAAGTGGGTACGTGAAACTACACGGAACCGAAAAGTTACCCAAAATTAAGTTCTTTTCACTCATCTCCCATGTTCCGTTCAATAAGCTAATCTTCAGTAAACCGCTTATAGTAGTTTGCATTTGGCTACGGCAAAAATAATTACTTACTCGTATGTATTTTCTACCCAAAATTAAGTTCAATTGACTCAAATTTGAGAATATCTCATATACTCACTAGTAGCTTATTGAACGATAGTCATGCGAAAGTCGAATCTCTCGTTCCGTTTTTGACAACAACAAAAAGTGAGAGTGGGATGCAAAACTCAAAATTACTTAAAATTAAGTAAAAAGAACTTAAATTTAGGGTAATTTTTTTTCTCTGTGTAAGCTTATTGGCGTTGACGGCACCGTCGAAAAATTTGCTCTTCCACCAAATATAGACAGTTTCTGGTAACTCTAAGACCACTGGGTCCCGAAGAAAATCATTATTATTTTTGGCTCACTCAGTACCAGAACAACGGTCCCAAGCAGTCCCAAGCTATTTCACTCACCCCTGCATGTTCTGCATGAATCCACACACCCCTGATGTTATCTGTCAAACTTTCATAGCGAATCAAAACAAACATAGTGTAGTAATAGAATTTCAACTAGAATAGGGTACGTTAATCGTTTTCTTGGGACCAATAGGCTAGTCAAGTAGTGAGCCAATTTAGAATCGTTAGTTTCGTATTGATTGTTGGTTATACAGCATTTATTCAATGTGTATGCTATTTGTGACTTTGAATTGTTTGTTGGGTTACTTGGGTAATTTTGAAGGCTGATCAAGACCCGCTTTTAAACTATTTTGAATCAGCACAAGGCTATGTGAACTTACCATTAGCAAATCCAAAACACTTTTGTATCCCTTCCCCATCCAGCTTAGCGCTTGATCTCCTTCGCAGTCTTCGTACGCAGCCAAACTCGAAGCAGATAAATTGTACCACGAATCAATCGCTATGTATCCTTGTTGATAATTTTCGTAGAACCTCAAAAACTGCTGTATCAGCTCACGGTTGATATCTTTCATCTTTGCATCAGTCACGATTTTCATGAACCGTTCCGTAAAGTAGTCTCCCAATGTGCCATCGTACGAGCTCATATCTTCTGCCTCCATGATCCCTTCAGCGACAGCCATTAGCCGTTCGGTGATTTCATTTGGAACGGTTTCACCAGTACTCTTCACCAGAACGTTACCACTCGAAACGATCGATGATTCCAACAACCCCAGAGGGCCAGCAAGTTCATGTACGGCATTATTCTTCTCGCCGTGACACCACTGAGCTCCCAGATCGATCATATTCACACCAAAGGGGATTGTATTGATGCGTCCTCCGATGCGATCCGTTGCTTCCAGAATTTGAAAATTTGTTAATCCATTTTCATATAGACGCGCGGCTGCGGCTATTCCAGAGGCACCCGCTCCCACGATTAGTATTCTTCTAGCACTCATTTCCACGAGCGTCCGTTCTAGTCAAGCACTGGTTATTAACTAACCTACGGCCGATTTGCCGATTACGATTCTTTATCGCACTGTCATATAACATAAACCTACAGTTTGCGTTTTTTTTTGTGATTGTGTAGCATCGAGCAAGACCGATCAAATGTTTTAGGGATGGTTCAAGAAAAACGTTCAATGAATTTCATGAAGACATTCAAAGAAAAATAAACGTGTTTTATGAACGTCCGTCTAACTTAATCAATTTATAGCATAAAGCTTCACTACACCACAAGTCACAAGTGGATATCACTTATCTCGGTTAATGTGGTGTGTGACGACAAAGTAATTGCTAAAAATATCCGTTTCTAGTTTCTAAGCGGGATAATCAGAACGAAAAATTATATCTTAGAGGTGGTGGAGGTCAATTTTCTCTGTAAAAATATAAGAAATTTAATTATTCTTTAGTTGGGCAATTTATGCACAAAATGATGTTGTTGAGTGCAAAGGCGTAGTGAGGGTTTACTGAGCCTTTGGCAAACTTTGGAAAAGACGTCCCTTACCCAAATGAAAAAAAAACACGTGCCAGAAATTGACAGCACCAGTGGTTGAGTGGTAAGCGTGACAGCTTTCTCACCTCAGTGGGTTTAAGAGCTTCGTAGAAGTTAAGGGAACATTATTTTATTTCAGGGAAGCTTATTATTGATCGGAAACCTCTAAGTATTGGCGCTATGTATCTACCTCCAGACCGGAAATCTGATTCGAGCAGCATTGCAAACCACATCAGTTCGATTGGTACCGTGTTCTCTCGACTAAAACAAAACGACCTAGCTCTGGTATTTGGTGACTACAATCAGTCTGGGCTCTCATGGAACGTTCCTGCAAACGATCTTCCTAGCATTGATGTTCTTCGCTCGAACATGCTCGCATCCTGCTGTGCTCTCATTGATGGTTTCAACCTGCATGGCTTAACGCAAATCAACTCGATACTGAATAGCAACTCTCGGCTGCTTGATCTCGTTCTGGCGAACGAAGCTGCAGGACTGGAATGTTCTATCCTAGAAGCCCCAGAGCCTTTCATTGGCATCGACACCAATCATCCTGCGTTGGAAGTTTCCATCAACCTATCTGTTCCTGTTCGCTACGATAACCCACCTGTTGATGTATATGAGCTCGACTTTCGTCGCGCTGAGTCACTCGCTTGCCTATGCAGATTTTGCAGTTCCTTGACACGTTTTCATCTATTGATGAAGCCGTCAACTACTTCGCTGAGGTCGTTGGCCGGGCAGTAACTGATTCTGTCCCATTGAGGAGACCCTCTCCCAAACCCGCATGGTCCAATGATCGACTATGGAATTTGAAGCATCTGAGATCGAAGGCCCTCCGTAAATACTCTCGTACTAGTAACCCTGGGTATTGCGGACTCACTCAATGTGCTTGTCACTTGGGAGCCAGTCAGAACTGTCAAACGGGAGCCAAACATTCAGAAGCAACAAACTCAGTTATTGTTCTTACCTCTCGTCAAACATTGCAATCTCATAAAAATGATTCATACTTTTTCATAGCACATTCTTAATTATAAGCTCAAAGTCAAAAACCAACAGGCTCAATAATGAAAGTATAAAAACCAGCATAGTTTTTATAACTCAGCTGAGTTTTCAATTTCAGTAAAACATACTTTGGCGAAACATGTATGTAAACAAACTTTGATAGAGTCATGGGGGCTCGAGCACTCCTGGCTAAGAGCTTTTGGCGGGAATCAACTGAGAAAGAACAAAACAATTTTAAACTTGAACAAATTTTCAAGCAGTTTTCCATTGGCTTGCAAAATTAAATCGATTTACTCCGCAGTACTCAGTCGTAACTATAGTCGCTATATTCATAGTCTGGCGGATAGAATCTCGGGAACCAATTGAGCTGTCAAATAGCGGAACCAATCGAGCAAATCACGATCAACAACAGAAAAGAGCACATCAGTTATTGCGAACAAAACTTCGGAACCCCTTTTCTCGTGACTCAAGACTCACCTACGCAAATTAATACCATCTTTGGGTTGGGGAAAGCTTCTCCTATCCGATGATGCTGGTAATTTGCGTTCGATTGGCGAGGAAAGAATAATCAACGTTTTGTTTATAAAAGTTGATAGAACCTTTTCAATTGTTGGTCTACAATATATTGAATTGGTTCTGCTTTTTGATAAATCGAAATTCTATTCGCCAGACTATGAATTTAGCGACTATAGTCGTAACCCATTCACCAAACGATTACTTTCAACAGCGAGCAACGAATATCGCACATATAACCGCATTCTTTACAAGAGCTACACAAGGCGTGTGCAGGCTAATTTACGGCTTAATCCAAAGCAGTTCTGGTCATTCGTGAAGACCAAACGAAGCGAGGAGGGGCTACCAGTCGAAATTCACCTGGGTGATAGAATCGCCAGCAATTCCCTTGAGAAATGCAATCTTCTGGCAGAACATTTCAAAAGCATTTTCAATGACACTACGGCTTCGTTGTCCCAAGTTGCTGAAGCGGTGAGGGACACTCCCAGTGATGCTTTCAATTTTTCGATAACCTCGGTTACAGTAGACCTCGTCGAATCCGCCATCAAGAAGCTGAAATTTTCTAATGCTGCTGGCCCTGACGGGATCCCCTCAAGCATCCTGAAGCTATGCTGTTCAGAGCTTACAACACCGCTTTCGAAGCTGTTTGATATTTTTCCTACGCGTTGGAAATCGTCATTCATGTTCCCGATCTACAAGAAAGGAGACAAGAGAAACGTCGAAAATTACCGAGGGATCACATCACTCAGTGCCTGCTCTAAAGTTTTTGAAATCATCATCAAGGACGCATTATTCTCTAGCTGCAGAAATAACATTTCTCCTGACCAACACGGTTTTTTTGTCCCAAGAGATCAGTTTCAACAAATCTAGCTCCGTTCATTTCTTTATGTCTTCGGAGTATGGAAGCTGGAGCGCAGGTGGACGTTGTATATAAAGATCTTAAGGCTGCATTAGACCGGGTTGACCACTCCAAACTGCTAGCTAAACTTGAAAAACTCGGTGTATCCTCGGGTTTAACTCGTTGGTTCAAGTCCTATCTGACCAATCGGGAACTTTGTGTTAGAATCGGATCAGAGCAGTCGGACTATTTTACAAACAGCTCCGGTGTTCCTCAAGGTAGCAACTTGGGACCATTGCTATTCTCGATTTTTGTGAATGAGGCCGGACTGATCCTCCCAACTGGTTGACGATCGTTCTACGCGGATGATGTGAAGATCTATGTGATTGTTCGTAGCTTCGCCGATTGCTTGCGGCTTCAGCACCTAATCGATACTTTCGAAGAGTGGTGCTCAAGAAACTATCTCACGTTGAATGTACAAAAATGTAATATTATCTCATTTCATCGCAAGCTGAAACCAGTGGCATTCAACTACACGATAAATCACCAACTTCTGCAACGTGTGGACAATGTTCGTGACCTAGGAATCACGCTGGACTGCGCCTTAACATTCAAGCTTCATTACTCGGGCATCGTTGCGAAAGCTAACAGGCAACTCGGATTCATTTGCAATATCGCTGACGAGTTTCGCGATCCTGCCTGTCTAAAAGCTCTATACTGCTCTCTAGTGCGATCGATCTTGGAATTCAGCTCGGTAGTATGGTGCCCGTATAAAGCAGTTTGGATAGCGAGGATTGAATCTGTTCAAAGGAAATTTGTTCGGTATGCCTTTCGTCACCTTCCTTGGAATGACCCTGTGAACCTTCCGCCGTACGAAGATCGTTGTCAACTTCTGGGTCTTGAAACACTAGAACATAGGCGGACGATTAGTCAGGCCGTGTTCGCAGCGAAAGTACTTATTGGTGATATCGACTCTCCAGGAATCTAGGCTGAATTCGAAATCTACGCACCCGAACGAGTTCTTCGGTCGAGGAGTTTCCTGCATCTTGGACCTCGTGCTGCGAACTACAGCTTGCATGACCCAATACGGTTCATGTCTGGGCGTTTCAATGAGTTTTACGAGTTTTTCGACTTCAACTGTGCAGCGGAAACCTTTCGTCACCGTATTCAACGCAGACTCCTGAGAAGGTGAGTGTGAGGATTGTGCTACCTGTTTATTTTTTGTTTCCGGTTCAACTGCATGACGAGGATTTCTACCTGATTCACGGACAACTCTATGCCATAGGAGGATAACTTTTTTTATGCTATAGACTTGATTAATGTTCGTTGTAATTGTATTGTATTATTGTGATTCATGTATTTCGAAAAGATATGGGGTTTTACGCCTTTTCTAGGCTTTTCCCCATCAGGCTTCATTTAGACACGTTAAGTCCGATGAAGAAAAACAATTGGGCCCATCGCTAAAAATCTGCTATTTATCAATTTTATCTAGATGAACGCGTTATTGGGACGTTACTAATGAATATTTTTGCTATTGCTATTGAAAATTTAGTCGATTGCTGAATTTATGTGTGGGCCCAAATTAGGGACACCTAGGCCGACATTACCTGCATTTCCTCTAGCTAGTAAAAAAAATTTTTGACGTGGGATTACGTCTTTCGGCAACATATTGGGGGTGCAATTTCAAAAAAACCAAAATCGACCGTATGACGAAAATAGGTCAGGTTTTGACCACATATAAATCTGTCAATAGCAGATGAATTTTAATTCTAAACAAGCCAAAGAATTGGGAATTTATCTACCAATCTGCTAAATTGAACACTTTATTAATTTTCAATAGGTCACTATTGAAAAATACACAAATGTTCAAAATTATCACCGATTACCTGCAAACAGCCCATTCCCTAACACAGATTTAAAAATGGAATTCGATCCTGTCTCACTGAACGGTGCTCATTCAATCACCGTGTGTGGTGGTGTCCGACCGTCAACGTCAGCAGCAGCATCAGCAGCAGCAGTGCTTTCAGCGTGTGGGGTTAACATTGTTCTCCAGTACACGACGAAAGGCAGCCTGCAAGCAGTAAGCTGCAGAGCCCACATGAGCACCCATAGAAGGAGGAAGAAGCCGCCGGATCGAAATCAGTTTCC